AATACGCTACTCAGTAGGCTTCAGTTTCAACTGAAGCCTACTGAGTAGCGTATTAGTTAGTAACTAAAAAAAATGCGGACGCGAAATAATTTATGAAGCCTGTTGTTATCAAAGACTAATGTTAGGCTTTTTTTAGAACCCTTTTTATAAGAATATACTAAGACGAAGAGGCTGAGAGTCAAATAAGAACGGCCCTTTTTTTCTTATTTTGGGGATAAGTAAAATTAAAGGTAAAAGAAATTTAAAATTGTGGTCTAAAAGGACAATTAACTCAAATACTTGGGGACTTTTTTTGACTTTTACAATGCGGTTATTGCACGATAGACTGCGGAACAACTTAGTTTGAAGTCGAACATAGTCTGGTCATGTCCGAATTGATAAATTACGACACAACTTTAAGAACGTGTTGAGAATGTTTTCCAGCTAAAATCTCAAAACTAAGCCGGAACGTCCAGCCTCAGCACTAAACAACATTTTCTTATACAAAAAAGTGCGTAATAGATTAATAGATTTTAATTGAATTTCTCATGATTACCAGTTCCAACAACATCGATTTGGTAAGTTAAAAAAGTAGTCCGAGTAGAACTTGGTGATGATGGACACACTGCTTTGCAAAAGAAAAAACAGTTTTGTGAAGAAAAGGTACAATTTTTGTTCTGTGGGCAAGGGGTTCAAGCCATGTGGTTGGAATAACTGTCTTGTAACGTTGGAAAGAAGCCCCTTCGGAAATGACTCCCCTGCCAGTGGCTAAGCAAGGAGTTTCTTCAAACCACAGTATGTACAGTCTGTACTAATTGATTCATTAAGTAAAGGTCATGATCAGTCAGCGTACCTCAGAATGATTTAGTCTCGATTATGTTTGTTTACTGTTTTACGAAGCCTACGAAAAGCAAATGCTTACGGCTGATATTGATTACTTTTACTGATAAATTTGTGGAAATTGCTTAACATCCGGTAAAGTTGTGTAAAAATGTCGGTAGCTTACCAATGGCATGTCGACGACTGACTACATCCTACTGGAATGCTAACCATAAAACGAAAATTCCGGATAGTGGAAGAGGAAAGAGGATGCTAAAAGGTTAACGCCATTTTTAATTAGATCGATGCGCTTCTTTATAATGCCCAAAAACTTGCGGTGCAGGTGTCGGTTTGTTAACCAAGTTAAAGTTAGTGTCTTCCGGTGAGCAACTAACTCACACGCTTAGTAGGTTCAATCTCAACTTACTCATGCACTGAACTTTTTTAATCGCTCACCTTTATTTTGCCGCTGTCCGCATCCGTTTCACCCTTCCATGCGCACTGTTTCCAGTTTGCCAGCTGTTTTGGGTCAATATTTGCTGCATCTCCTCTCTCTCCCTTTATTCCGATTCCTCTTTCTCCTTTGAGTCCCTTGGGACCCCTGGGGCCAGTCATCCCAGGGATACCCGTACCAATCATGCCTTTGCTTCCTGTTTCTCCTTTAGAGCCTTTGTAGCCTCGTGGACCAATTTTCCCGGGGATTCCTTCTCTGCCCTTTTCCCCCACGCTACCAATTTCTCCTTTTTCTCCAGTCAACCCATGGTGCCCCCGGGGTCCTCTTGAGCCAGGTTTACCCGGGGATCCTGCATCTCCTTGCCGACCTTTTTCTCCCGTGTCGCCACTTCTTCCCGGCGGACCTGAAGGACCTGGTGAGCCCGGNCCACATCTGATCGGTAACAAACCGTTATTTTCCGCTTAAATCCGAACTGAATCAGAAACAATTCAAGTACTGAATAATTTCGCTGAACAATCTGTAGTTTTTACTGAGCTGATTTACTTCAATGCTACTTTGCTATTTTAATAATTTTGGTTTCTTAAGAAAGCTACTGAGTGAAAGAATGATACCGTTTGCCCCCAGCTACTTACCTGTGCAATTGGTCCCCGCGTGTAAACACCACTAGTGACTAGTCCCTACGACCAGTCCCTTCGTGTAAACTTTTCAGGGAACTAGTTGCAGGGAATAGTCTCCCCGTTTGTGCCGATCTTTACCCTTGTTTGCGACTTGGTGATGGCAGGTGCTACCACAATACTTCAAAGATTACGCTATTAGAGGAGTACGATGCAAAAATCTTTAACTGAATGTCTTTGTTTGATCCGTAAGCCAGAAAAAAAAAACAAAAAAACAAACAAACAAACAAACAGATATATAAACAAATTAAAGAAAGATTGAGACGATCTCCCTTTTAAGTCACTTTGAACACTGAGGTTGCCAGTTTAGAATTTTGCCGCTAAGTACCAGCCAATCATATACTACAAGTGACATTATAACTTTGCAACGTTCTTTCCGACATCTTACTCGAGAGATTATAAACTTTGGAGACATTCGTCGAAAATGGAAATGTCCCATTTACAGGTCGGGGATAATATTGATGATATCAATGCAAACCCCCTGGGGGGAGGGGTAAGATATCCAATTTGAACTTCAAAACGAATAATCGGTGAATAACGAAATAATTCCAATTCATTGTTAGTGATTCAAAGTGACTATATAGAAAGGCTGGAGAAATATCACAATAAAAACAACGTTTTAGTTTTGGAGCTCCCAAAAATAGCACACGTTTTGTTCCAGTGATGACCCTTATTGCTTGAATTGAGGATAGTAAGTAATTGACAACGTAACGCAAAGTGATCGAAATGTGATTGAGCTCCGTGTACGGACTGATCTCTGCTTTCCCGTCTTTCCTCGCCCCTGCCTCCCCTGTCCCCCTCCCAGCCTCTAACGAAATAAAAACTAATAACAATGACGTGTAACAAAGAACTCTATGACTAGGTGTTCAAACTATTCACCTCTAAAGATTACAGTTAAACCGCTACAATCGGTCTTTTTGCTGGCCATCTTAAAATTTACGCCACGCGGAACTCTCGGTAAATATCAAACTAGGACTTTTTATTGTAGTCTTTGCAAAATTCCAACATTCTCGAAAGATCCGAAAATTTAGTTGGAGTGCGAGTGGTTACTCAGAGATCTCCCGTTTTCAGATATGGTAATGTCTGATCAAGGGAGTAGAGCAAGAAGACCACCTCCAAACTTTGAACCGAATTTGAAGTAACTTTGTTATTTTTTTCCTATTTCAAATCTAAACAGATGTAAGTGCGCCTCACCCCACCCCCTGTAGCGCAGTTAAAACTCATGTATATCACATCCCTTTAATGAGGAAACAGCTTAAAGAGAGCATATCCAATAGTAGCGAGTATTCTTTTGATATTTTATTTATAATAATACGCAGTTTGCAAAGAGACAAAGTTGATTCTCTAAGTATCTTTCTATTGCTACTCTAAGCAACTTAGTTTCCCCCTCAGCATTATTATTAAAAAAAAGTTACTCTTAAGGTATTCTCCTTAATGTGTTTCCCTTACACTTATTGAATATTCAGCTCTGATGACAACAGGATTACTGGGATGATGGTACTTCTTCAATTATAATCCGAGACGCTGAATTATATCCCGTGTAAGCGTCACCCAGTGTGCACCTATAGCATTAGCTAGCACTTACCTACCCAGAGTTCAACCTGAACCGTGCCCCGCGGGAGATTCATTCAGAAACCTTCAAAGGGAGAAGATAGTGGGGGTTGAGCGTTGAGCTAATGGCATAGTTGGTGTGAAGGATTGAGTCAATCTGCAAAGGATCACTGCATTCATTGTCATTAAAATTTAAATACCATCTGTTGCATTTTGTCATCAGAATTGTACACTACAATGTTGCCCAGGGGCTGATACTAGCTTGTAAATTGTTTTAAAGTTTGAGTTCCAACAGCGTTTCTAGTTCTTTCAGCGAACTACATACATTAGTCCAAGCCTAGGTTTGATTGCCCTTTGATCCTGTTCCTCCATTATTTAAATTAATCAACGGCACGGCTTTTTCAGCCGTGTGATGTTTCATGTCGAACGGTCTGATCAGGAATTAAGGGCATCGAGCTTGGGCTTTCCAAGTTTATAACATAACCAAAGTAAAGCGCGCGCTCTGATTGGTCAATTTAGCGTCCCCCATTTGCCCATGGGCGTGCGCTGCTGACGTGAGCAAATGTAAAGACTATTTTTCCACGCGCGCTTGTTTTTTCTGGTCGCGTAAGATTTGTTAAATAAAAGGGAACTGTTTAGCTACAATGTATCAATGTTATATTATAAAACAAATGGTAAACACCACAGCGTACATTATTGAGTTATGGATGCACTTGGGAGGTTTGCTAAGCACTCAAGAAGCTAGAGTCGCTCTCGCCTATCGCCTCGAGCGACTCTTACGCTTCTTTCGTGCTTAGCAACCTCCCGCGTGCATCCATAACTCAATAGTGTACGCTGTGGTGTTTACCATTTGTTTTATAACATAACATTGATACATTGTAGCTAAAGAGTTCCCTTTTATTTAACAAATCTTACG